AAAGTGTTATTGGTTTATTGCTATTGGGTTATTGGGTTAACAGGTTTTTAATAGCTTTATAAAAAAATTATCTGATTCGATTCAGTGTTGATTTTTAATATTGGATTATTGGATAAACCGATAACTCATTAAGACTATAGTAATTTACTACTTTTACCTATATATAAATACTAAATATTGATCTCAATATCTTACTAGTTATGTCTTTGTCATTGAGCCTTCAATTAATACTTCACTGTGACTTTGAGTTCACAACTCCACATTATACAAACCGTCAAAACTCAAAACCTAAAATAAGAACCTTATTCCTCTTAATTTCTCTTTGTGTTACAAATGTATATATAGTTCTTTTCATGTTTGTTATTATTGCTTCTATTTTTATGATCATGTATGAGTTACATTATTGTCTTGTCATGAAAAATTTATTAGAAAAGTCATATATTTATTTGATAAACATTTTCTTATTGTTTAATCCGAAAAACCGAACCGTTAAAAATCAAAACCGATTAATCGAAAACCGATAAAAAGTATCTTATTGATTTGATTATTGATTTAGTGTATTTCTAAATTGAAAACTAATAACTCAAACTGATAATACATAAAGCCGAATCGAACCGACCGATGATAAAGAAGATTTCCTAAATCACGATTTTTGGTATAGCAAATTAAAAACCGTTTTACAAACCAGCCAATTGTTTGAAAAAGCACAAATTCAATAAAGAAAGATTTTTATGGTTTTTGGGTTAAGTGTCCAAGTGAGTGGGTAGTTCTTTTTTGGCACCATTATATTCAAACTTTCTTTAATTTTTGACAGAAAAAAGTGGTGCTTTCAAAGGGGGGCAATTAGGCAAAAAGAAACCAAAATTTCTTCACGGGGTTAGGCTTTCAAGGAAACAAGAACAACAATTATTTTGGTAAATTGAGAAAGTAGGTCCAAACCCAAGGCCAAGGGTATGATTTAATTGTGGAAAATCATGAGATTTCAAACTCAAATTTTAAGTTTCGCTAAATCAAATTACTATATATTTGTGTTGATGAAAAGTAATATGTACTTTTTGAAATTAATCGAGGTGCTTGTAAATTGATTCGAACAACACAGAAAAGAGAGGTCCAAACATAGAGAAAAATATATCATTATCGAAATCAAACCCTAAAAACTCTATTTTATGTCTCGACTCATAGTGGTTGTCTATATCAGACAAGGTATGAAGATTGGTTTTTGGATTTGGTGTCCCATTTTAATTACGTCTCTTTAAATTTAACAAGATATATTTCTATAATAATGCTCTACCGTCCTTTTTTGTTTTTCCTATTTTTAAAATTTATCTTCCACTCAAGTTATAATATGAAATTTTCATAATATGTCCAACAGTTAACTACCGTCTCTCTGCCTTTTCTGGTATGTGGTTACTTTATTCTATTTGTATTTTTTTTTAAATATACAATTTAGAACTTTAGCTGTAAATTATAACCCTATTATATTAATTGTGAACCATTTATACCACACTAGTCAAGACTATTTAATAATATTGGAATAAGGTGCACTGGCTCTGACACAAGTAATAAGGGACAAAAAATTAATTTTTGTATGGCTCTTTCTGTGGACAAAATTCATTTAAATTCACTGCATTTATCCTACAACATTATCTCTTTCTACCTAGGTAAGGTCCTCTAGCTTTCTATCAAAATCACTAGAGACAAAATTTTGTGAATAATTTAATGTCAATACTTATTATAGAGACATGGCCTTTTTCTGATTTTTAATAACAAGAAAAGCACGTTACAATTTATTTTTTCATGTCAAATGAACATTTTTTGTGATTTGCAATAGTAATTATATATATGGTGACTGGTGTAATAGAAGGATTAATAAAAAATGAACTGTATTTAATTGCAACATAAAATGTTACTTGAGATTGGTGGAAGAAGGAAATGATTCTCTAACGCGTAAAATGATTCAATCAATTTAGGTAGGTTAAATATCAGGTTAGCTCACTTATTTCAGATTTGAGAAAAAAACTACGTAAATTCATTACTATGAAAAATGAATAAATAAGTTTGACTCTATGTATTTTATTGATAGTAAGATCAACCTTCTTTATTGAGCATTTTTATTTACTGAACCAACTTGAACAAAATAAAAAAGTAAAGAAAGAAATTCATTGACCTACGTTAATAACGTGATAAACTAACAAGGTGATCACCATTTGTTATACTTGGTCCCATTAAAGTTAGGTTATATGTCAATAAAATTACAATACAATGCATTTAATAGAAAAAGGTTCTATTGTTTTAAATTTTTTATTAAATATTGATACCCTAATGATTATGATTTATGAGAGTTGATATATATTTTATCATGTAGGTCAAAGTGTAACACTTTGAGGTTGACAAAAAAGTAAAAAGTGTAACATGTCCATTGGTTCGTAGTCCCGTTCAACCTAAAAATTCTGCAATTCAATAATTTAAATTACCATATATTTAATGGGAACAAAAGACTTTTTCATTTGAAAGTTATGGTATACGAGTAAAATGGCAATAGTGATTTCATTAGAATAACTATTAAGATTTTGAATATATATAAGGAGCATTTTCAAGTAGTGCAAGCCAAGCAATGATACATTACTTTCTTATGTGTAAGTTAAATGTATGAAATTGATTTGGATGTCAAAATCACAAAATTTCTTTGTCAAACTAGTCTAATATATTAGGTATTTAACTTAGCCATTTGATAGTTAACAAGTGCACGCAATTATTTTTGATGGATTGAGGTAGGCACTAGGCATTATTATTAAAGTTAATCAATTGGGCCAATTATGATTGAATAGATGGAGAAATTAAAAAAATTAAATTTCAGTAGTCAAATTCAAATTCTCATAGTCAATGATTATTTAAAATCAAAATGATTTATAATATTATCAAAAGAAAGATAACTTCGACCTTCACAAATTACAATAAGCGAAATGTCTGAGTTACTGTACACAAGTTGAAGTAAGTTTCATGAATATTTGAGTGTAATTTAATATGCTGATAATTAAAAAAAAAACTTTTTAAAATATCAAATTGCTTTAAAAAAATCATTTGTAGTAAGTAAAAATTAGTTACGTGGAGGATACATAAAAGAAAGCGTATGTATTAAATCTCGAATATTTAAACATTTGAGAAAGATATGTGATCTAATTACGGAGAAATTGACATAAATGATAACTTATTTTTAGTTGTAGGTTTAAAATACTCCCTTAAGTATCAATTTTACAGTCTAAATCTTTTAAGTTTATGAAAAGTAGACATTTTTCGTCTTTCGTCAAGTTTTCAAACACCGCAATATAGAAAATACATCCGATACAAATAATAGACAAAAGTTAATAGAGAAATTGCATCTCAAAAAATTTCACTAGGCTCTTTAAAATAGATAAAAATAAACTATAAAATTTGTACTTCCAAATGTGAGCTCCCTTTAATAAATATTTTCTGTATTTTTACAATTTCAAGAATAAGAATTTACTGCATACTTGACTAAACTGAAAGTGCTCACTTTTACCGTTAAAAAATTAAAATTATTATATTTTTAAAAACTATTTTAAACGTATGTATCACAAAAAATAGAAGATCATATTTATCATTTTCTCCTGTAGTAGTTATGCAATGGAGCCAGAGAAGAGTATAATACTAACATATATTTAGTGGAATAAGTAGCCAACCCAAAAGAAAATAAAAGAACAAATTCAAGGTTGATGAACACAAAGTTCCAAAGCCTTACCACTTCAGTGGATGTAGTGCGGTAAATGAATTATTTTTCTCTTCATAAGAGGTTTCGATTTCGAAACTTCAATATATAAATTTTGTTTGTTAAGGATTGTTTTTTTCAAAAATGAGGCCTTACGTAATACAAATTTAAAATAATTAAACTCTGTGGATAATGAACACCGTAAAAAAATAATTCAAAGCCCCATATTATAATCCATGCTTTATCAGTGGTCAAATCTTCTATTTTAGTTCACATGAAAGAAAAAGCAAAACAAAACTAAAACTCATTAAAAAAACATGGCAACCCCAAAAGATCCTATAATCTCACCGTCCTATTTTACGTGATTTATTTAACTTAACACAAATTAGAGAAAAAAAACTAATATACAAAATTTTATAATTTAAAAGTAGTATTTTTTTTGGTGAACACATTAAAAAAAGGTAAAAGAAAGCAGTATCATCACTAATGAGTAATGACCAATTTATAAAAAAAAATGTTTCTTTTCGGACTGCCCATTCAAATTTGTTCTTATATTTGGAATTTGTATAAATATAATCCTTAGAAAGGTATTATATTGAATAAACTTAAATTAATGTCTAATATCAAATCATATATTGATCTATTTACCAATAAAATATTAGATTGTCACTTAACATTCATAATTAGTTATAACGTCTTATATAATGATTTAAAATTTACTTAAAAATCATGTTCTAATTTTTTTAATAAAAGAGATTTTTTTAAGCTTTTAGAAAAGAGTAAAAGAAAATTGGTCCAGCAGTAGGAGTAATAGAAAAGTAAGAAGGAACAGTGCACTCTTCATCATATAAAGCAGAAAGAGCCAAGCTGTAATAGGAACAGTAATTATCACCCAAGCTGTATCGTGGTACAGTGATAAAACTGCTTCACCTTGAAGTTTTGAATGTGAACTTTTTTTTATATCTAATAATGCTCGACTAAAATTTAATCAAAATTACAATATGAGATCCGGTGTCTCGATTCAAATCTAATCAAATTTACAATATGAGAGAGAGTGAGGCTTTTGGAGTGTCAAGTATATTTTGAGAAAAATAGTGATAGTTAAGTGATATTTTGATCCTAAATAAAATATAAATAATATTTCAAGGCAATTTTCTAAACTTAGATGACCATTTAAGAAATTGACTCGATCCGGATATCGAGCGAAAAAAAGAAGAGTAGCTATGGCCTATGAGTGTGTTCTCTTCTTTGAGATGAAGCCGACATTGCTCTTTACTGTGACAGCTCACTCACTTGCCTTTAATTTTCATTTCCTTCAAATACCCCCATCAACCTAAACCGACTTGTTTTAACAATATTTTACTCTTCTCTACACCACACCGCCTTCCTTCCCTCTTCCTCTTCAAATCTCAGCTACTCCTTTTTCACTTTCTTTAAGTGTCTAACCAACATTCAAACCTCATATTTTCAACTACTACTCTCCCTTTTCTGCTACTATAGTACAATAACAACAACTCCTTTCTTGTTATTCTGCATCTGCTGACAGAATGAATAAACAAGAAATGCTTAAGTCTCAGGTATGACTAATTCCTTGCACACTCTGTTTTACTACCATTTGTTTGGATTTACTTTATGTCAGTGTTCATATGCAAGGTTTACTAGTTTCATACTGTCACTAATACAAGTTTTAAACTCTGTTTCCTTTGGATTTGGTAAAGACTCATTTTTTATGCCTGTTGTACTCTATGTTTTGGTATCTCAAGTTATATTATGTGGAATTTGTTGAGTTATTGGGGGTTAAGTAGGCCTGTAGGCTGTAACCAGCTTAACTATGTAGTCATTTCTTGAACATTTTTTCTGATTTCTGTACCTTACGATATCTTTTTTTTTTTTTGGCAGACTTGTGTTCTTAAAGTAAATATACACTGTGATGGCTGTAAACAGAAGGTGAAAAAGAAATTGCAGAAGATTGAAGGTAATTAGAGTTGTTTAGCAGAGAAATATATGTCATATTCACATGCTTTAGGGCCCTAGATTAGATGTCTGTTTTTCTAAATTATTTTTTAATATTTTTTTAACAGGAGTTTACACAGTGAAGATAGATTCAGACCAAAGCAAAGTAACAGTGACAGGAAATGTTGATTCAGCAACACTGATAAAGAAGCTAGTGAAATCAGGGAAACATGCAGAGCTATGGGGAGGAGCACAAAAGGGAGGTTCTAATTTCAGTATGATGAACAATCAGTTCATGAACATGCAAATGGACAACTTTAAAGGTGGAAAAGACAACAAAGCTCAGAAGGGTGGTGGTGGTGGAAATAAGGAACCACCAAAGGGGAATGCTCAACAGTTTCTTCAGATGATGCAGAATCTCAAAGGGTCAAAGGATAATTTCAAGATGGCTAATGTTCCTAATCCCAAGGATCAAAAATCTGTGAAGTTCAATCTGCCTGAGGATGAATTTGATGATGAATCTGATGACTTCGATGATGAATCTGATGATTATGATGATGAATCTGATGATGAATTTGGTGGCCCTCCACCTTCTAAAATGATGCCTGCTATGGGGGGTGGGGGTGGTCATGGAGCTCATGGGCTTAATGCTATGATGATGAAGGGTGGGCCTATGGGTAATAATGGTGGAAATGGCAAGAAAGGTGGGGTTGAAATCCCAGTACAAATGGCTGGAAATCATCATGATGGTGGCAAGAACAATAATAATGGAGGAAAACAGGGGAAAGGAGGGAACCAAAACCAGAACCAGAATCAAAATGTTGGTAAAAATGGTGGCAAAGGTAACAATAATGGAAGTTTTGGAGCAGCAGCACCTCAGAAAGGAGCAGGGGGAGGGAAGATGGATGGAGGTCTATTGATGAACAGTATGCAACAAGGAGGGCCACATGGTATGATGAGTATGGGTCAAAAAAGTGGAGGCCCAATGACCATGGGCCCAATGGGTAATCACCCGATGGGTCATATGTCGGCAGCTCAAGGACTACCCGCCGGTGGTCCTGCCGGATACCCCGGGATGGGTCAAGGTGGCAACAACCCTTATAGCCAACAACAACAACAACTACAACAACAACAGTACATGGCACAAATGATGATGAACCAACAGCGGCCTGCCGGATATGACATGTACGGAGCCCATCCAAACATGTACGGTGCCCATCCGATGATGTACGCTCGGCAACATCCATCTGTGAGTTACGGGCCACCACCGCCTATGGGAGCTCCGGTGCATGATAATTTTACTCATATGTTCAGTGATGAGAATACAGGCAGCTGTAGTATTATGTAAATTGTTTTTTTATAAAAAAAGGTGTGTACTTTGTTTTGGTCTTTAGCTTATTATGAAGTAATGAGAGACTATGCTTTTGTCTTCAGAAAGCAAATTGTAAGAATTTTGCTCTACCTATTACTACTCCCTCTGTCCCAATTTATATGACTCACTTTCCTTTTTAGTCAGTCCCAAAAAGAATGACACATTTCTATTTTTAGTAACAATTTGCCTATAAAATGTCTTTTTTACCCTTAATGAAATGATTTACAACCACACAAATTTCTATCATTCATTTTGGACCACAAGTTTTAAAAGTCTTTCCATTTTTCTTAAAGTTTGTGCCAAATCAAAGTACATCACATAAAATGGGACGGAGGGAGTACTTTTTTAACAAGTAATTCTGGTGCTTCACATCAAGAAACCCAATTTTGTTAAAGTAGTTACTATCAGGTAGCTTTAATTTAAGATCCTAATTAAGGTCTTGTGAAATTGACTATGCTTGCAAGTTATTTGGTCCCAATAACAGTTTTGGAAGTCACAAAATTTAGACATATTTTAGTCTTGGAAATTGGAAAGGAATCACTTGGAAAGGAAGATTGTTATTTGATTCAACACTGGCAATGCATCTTCTTCTGCTTTTGGGAAAGTTTCACTATGTTGGTACAGTAGCTAAGAAGTTTTGGTTAAATCTTCTCTTAGAAATCACTTCATTATAATGTAGACACAGTTCCCTAGAAAGGGGAGAAGAAACAAAAAACTACAAGAGGGATGAAAAAGACAATTCCAATTTGTTAATATTTTTTTTGTAAGATATTTTAAGTTAGTAGTAATACGTGTTGACTAATTGGATAAATATCACATTGATATTTTTGGGGCAAGAGGGTGAAGATATAATGGATCTGGCAAAAGCTTTGATTACATTCATGTGCACTTATATTAAATTAAATTTGTGTCATAATTCTTGAGTTAGGTCAAAAACTAATTAATCAAATTTACGACGTACTAGTACATAAGTTTTGACCAAACACGTGAGTTCTGGAATTCTGTGTTATGAATATTTTAAAAAAGAAGATTTGCATATATTTACACTGTGAAAATCAGAATTCATCAATCCAAGAAGTAATGTCTAGGTCTTTGTAATAAATTACAGAAAGGAAATTGCAATTTGGTTGTTAAAAAATGGAAAAATTCTGCTTTGTCTTTGTGATAATTAATGAAAACACATGCTACCTTTGTTATTATATTAATCAATATATGCAGTTTTGGTCTGTGAAATACTTAATGGTTTAGGTACTCTCTTCATCCCATATTAGTTGATCATCTTACTAAAAATAGTTATTCAATATTAGTTGTTCACTTTACTAAATCAAGAAAACATTAATTAAAATTTTCTGATAGGGAAAAAGAACAAATATACCCCCGAACTATCGTAAATGGTATGCAGATACGCTCCGTCATACTTTTGGGACATTGGTGCCCATGCCGTCCTAAAACTAGAGCATATATACCCTTTATACTAAATAAAATAGATACGGAAGCCATCACAATTGCTTGTACGTTTGGGTAAGAAATGTTGGAGTCTTTTGCTCCTCCCAAGTAAGGCTGCGCAACGGACCGGAACGAAACCACCGGACCGGAACGAATCGGTACCGAAACGGAACGGGACGGTTTGACCGGTTTGTTGACCGGTACCGGGATGAATCGGACCGGAATTACCGGGACGGATACTCGGTTCCGTCCCGTCCCACTATATACCGGGATGGAATCGGAATGGACCGGAACGGATCGGAATGGAACGGGATGGGATAAACGGGACGACACATCTAGCTATTTCAAAAAATGATGATTTTTTTTTAGTTATTTTGATTTTTTGAATTACGAAAATATGAATGTTTTTTTTTTTTCTAAGTTTAAACTTTAAATTAATAGTTTTGAAATTTATAAATTATAATGTAATTTTACTTAAGTTTATTTTAAAGATATTTTTTTTTTAATTTTTACCTATTAATTTTACAAGTTAAGTTTAATAAAGTTTTTTTAAAAATTTTTTTAGCTTAGTTTTCAAATTTCAAGATTTGAATCTTTTGAAGTTTATAAGTTATTACTTATTAATATGTTATAACTTATAAGTTATATTTATAACTTGTAATTTAAATAACTTAAGTTTGTAATTTATTTTTTTAAAAAAAAGGATAAAACAATGACACAATCACACAAATTTTAAGAAAATTAAAAAAAACTTTTGAATCTTGTAAATTTAATTAAAGATATATATAGAATATATCAAAACACATTTTAATCTTATAGTCTGAAACATGTTATATGAATTGTTTTTATAAATTTATTTAAAGATATATAAAATATATCAAAATACATTTTAATATTAAAATCGTAAATATGTTATACGCAAATTTTTGCTAAAAACAAGAACATTAAAGGAAAGAAAAACAAGTCATTTTAAAACGTAGAAAGTACTACTTAATAAATCTATTGTTTCATGTTTCTCACTTAATGGGTTCGATATATGTTTTGAAATATCAATTAATTTGAATTTACATTGCACAAACTCATTAAAAGTAAGGGCGGATCAATATCATTGATGATCTAAAGCCAAATTGCAATTTATTTTATTTTTTCAAAGAAAAATTATATTTATAATTTTTATTTAAAGTCTGTTTTCTAACTTTTTAAAACTAAAGTTATAAATAATTATTTTATAATCAACTTGATCTTCTAATATTATTTTTTGTTCAATTAGTAAAATAGTAGCAATCTATTCAACAATTTTTTCAAACATTTCAAATATCAAACATTTGGGGAAAGTTATATATATATATATATATATAAATTATAATATAAAATATAAATCAATTAATAAAAAATAATTAACCGGAACCGGACCGGACCGGAACGAAACCGGAATAAACCGGTACCGGTACATCGGTATCAAATCATGATACCGTTCCGTCCCGTGTACCGTTCATGGTGTCCCGTTCCGTCCCGAAGATTATCGGACCGGTACCGGAACGG